AAGGCCCCTTTCCTCTGACTTCCCAGTGACCCACACCAGCCCTGCCATTGGCTGCTCTCACCATTTTGTCTCCCACACTCTGTTGACTGACTGGTGCCTCATTTGGAATGTATTTTCAATCTCATTTTGCTTTACTTTTATTTTCTGTTGACCTTAAACTCTTTTCTGCATCGACAAAAAGAACCAAAGTCCCAGGCAGTAATCCCAACTGGTAACAAAAGCAAAAGCAAAATCTGAGTAAAAATGACCATAAAAGACCATGGACTGTCTTCCTCCTTCTAAAGTCTAAACTCAGTCTCTCAAATACCTTGATTTATAACTTCTTGTGCTCTAGGGCTGTTAGCATCTCTTCACAGATGCCCTTTTATAACTAAATATTAAACACACAGAAATCCATTGGTTTTTATATAACAACTAGAGGCCCTGTGAACAAAAATTGTGCACTGGGGTGGGTTTCCTCAGCCTGGCCTGTGCCCTCTTGCAGTCCAGGTGCTCTCAGGGGATGTCTGACTGAAGGCTCCAGACTGCTCCCTCCTATGCTGCAGTCTGGCCTCCCTCTGAGGGAGGTAACCATGTGGCAGATCAGGGGAATGCACTGGCAGGCCAGCAGCCGGCCCACCCCCATAGCTGCTTCTGCAGCAAGCCTCCTTCTGAGGGAGGCAACCTGAAGGATGATCTGGGGAACCCCTCCCCTGGCTCTGTCCGTCCCCCCACCCCCATTGCCCCTCAGCCACTGCTGGTCTCTGCTGCTCCCCCTCCTCCCCATCATTGTGTCCTCCCTCTCCTGTTGGCTTAAGCCTTTGTTGGCCTGGCTCAGGCTGCTCACAGATCCTGCCCCCCACAAACCAGTCATTCAACAGTTTGATCCATTTGCACATTACACTTTTATTATAGAGAATTAACATAGCTCAAGTGCATAAGGCCTCTATTGTTTTTCTTTTTCAGGTTATTAACTTAGTACACTAAGATAACATAAATTCTGAATTCTATGACTTTATAGGGGCTTGACCATATTAATATTATATGTAAATGAGTGCTTATAATACATGATCTTAACTATTACAGTTGTCTTCCTATTTCAAGCGAAATCCATTGCAGTTAAACTGGTCCCCAAATACAGGGGGAAACTTGAATGTGCTCTGTGGACTGTTTTAAAGTGGTTGGTGGGGCCGGAGGTTAAGAGAGTTTCCAGGAAGTCTATTTCCAGGGTTTCATTAATTAAAAATAGGGGTGTTGGGGGGAATTCTTCTGATTAAATGGTGTGTTGGAAATAAAACTTAACTGTATCAGGTATGTCTCCCTTACCTCCTATGTTCATGTGGGCGGGCAAACAGGGAAAATAAAACCATCTTGCAGATTTCGCCAAAATGTGCACTGCCATCGCAGGAGACCAGGCTCTTCCACTGCCTGCCTCCCCGACTTCATCCCCAGTGCATTTAAGCACTTAGTAAGGAAGAGGAGTGCCAAAGAGAGGGAACCATAACAGCTGCCAACCACTCCCCTCTGATTGCGCCCTTTCTCTCTAGTTAATTTCCACGCGAGGTGCAAGGTGTGGAG